GGATATAGTGAATACGGGGTCCGGGGAGACCAGATATAGTGAATGCTGGGTCTGGGGAGAGCAGATATAGTGAATGCAGGGTGCGGGGAGACCAGATATAGTGAGTGCGGGGTCCGGGGAGACCGGATATAGTGAATGCGGGGTCCGGGGAGAGCGGATATAGTGAATGCAGGGTCCGGGGAGACCAGATATAGTGAATGCAGGGTCCGGGGAGACCAGATATAGTGAGTGCGGGGTCCGGGGAGACCGGATATAGTGAATGCAGGGTCCGGGGAGACCGGATATAGTGAATGCAGGGTCCGGGGAGACCAGATATAGTGAATGCAGGGTCCGGGGAGACCAGATATAGTGAATGCGGGGTCCGGGGAGACCAGATATAGTGAATGCGGGGTCCTGGGAGACCAGATATAGTGAATGCAGGGTCCAGGGAGACCAGGTATAGTGAATACGGGGTCCGGGGAGACCGGATATAGTGAATGCGGGGTCCGAGGAGACCGGATACAGTGAATGCGGGGTCCGGGGAGACCGGATACAGTGAATGCGGGGTCCGAGGAGAACGGATATAGTGAATGCAGGGTCCGGGGAGACCGGATATAGTGAATGCAGGGTCCGGGGAGACCGGATATAGTGAATGCAGGGTCCGGGGAGACCGGATATAGGGAATGCAGGGTGCGGAGAGAGACCAGATATAGTGAGTGCAGGGAGACCAGATATAGTGAATGCAGGGTCCAGGGAGACCAGATATAGTGAATGCGGGGTCCAGGGAGACCAGATATAGTGAATGCGGGGTCCAGGGAGACCAGATATAGTGAATGCAGGGTCCGGGGGAGACCGGATATAGTGAGTGCAGGGTCCTGGGAGACCGGATATAGTGAATGCAGGGTCCGGGGAGACCGGATATAGTGAATGCAGGGTCTGGGGAGACCAGATATAGTGAATGCAGGGTCCGGGGAGAGCGGATACAGTGAATGCAGGGTTCGGGGAGACCGGAATACAGTGAATGCAGGGTCCGGGGAGACCGGATAAAGTGAATGCAGGGTCCGGGGAGACCATATATAGGGAATGCAGGGTCCGGGGAGACCAGATATAGTGAATGCAGGGTCCGGGGAGAGCGGATATAGTGAATGCAGGGTCCGGGGAGACCGGATACAGTGAATGCAGGGTCCGGGGAGACCACATATAGGGAATGCAGGGTCCGGGGAGAGCGTATATAGTGAATGCAGGGTCCGGGGGGAGAGCGTATATAGTGAATACTGGGTCCGGGGAGACCGGATATAGTGAATGCAGGGTCCGGCGAGACCGGATATAGTGAATGCAGGGTCCGGGGAGACCGGATATAGTGAATGCAGGGTCCGTCCGGGGAGACCGGATATAGTGAATGCAGGGTCCGGGGAGAGCGGATATAGTGAATGCAGGGTCCGGGGAGACCGGATATAGTGAATGCAGGGTCCGGGGAGACCGGATATAGTGAATGCAGGGTCGGGGAGACCAGATATATCTGAATGGCATCTGAATGGCACCCCAACCCACCTTGCCGATGGACACGCCTTGCAGTGCATGGTAAGTTGCCAACAACGCATGTACTAAAGTATGTTGCCATGCATTGTGCAGCAACACATATCTATGAGCTAGATGCATTGAAGTGCTATCCAGAATGAATGATTCCGCATCTCACCAACGCATTTGTTGGGTGTTGTGGTAAAGTTTGCAGAAACACGCATGTTGCTGCGATGACATAATGTACACAGGCCCTTTAATAGTTTGGCTGTAATACCAGACTGTACCAGAAGGTGGCGATCCAAGTCACGTGTGTAACTGCAGAACTTCATTCAGAATAAACAGCGGCGCATCTCTCCAAAGCATTTACCGTGCGTTGCAGTAACGCAATGCACAGCCACTGCTGCGAATCAGCCCTCACAATAGGCTCCTTTTGGTTCATAAATATAAGATTGAAAACGTCTTTATTTTATATCTGCTCGATAAGTGCAAAAAATCTCAAACAATGTCATCAGGAAGTGTGTTAGAACTACAGAACCCCTCCCATGGATTTGTGTTTCTGTCCATCCAGCCCTGAGATTTACACAGCCCCATCATACAGTGTAGTCCTGCCTAGCAGGTAAGGAGACTCGAACTTGTTTGTTGCAGTTTCACTTTCACTTACCTCCCCACCCTGTGTCTTAGACCAGGGGTCACCAAACTCTCTAAACAAAGGGCCAGTTTACCATCCTTCAGACTTTAAAGGGGCCAGACTGTAGCCAGTGGGAGAAGAAAATATCCCAGCGTCGGTAAAAATGCCCCATCATTGGAGTCCATGAGAGATACTGTATAATGCCACATCGTTGATGTCAGTAGGAGGAATAGTGTCCCATCATTGGTGTCAGTGGGAGGAATATTGCCCCATTGTGGCTGTCAGTGGGAGCAATAATGCCCCATCATTAGTGTCAGTGGGAGGAATAGTGCCCCATCATTGGTGTCAGTGGGAGGAATAGTGCCCCATCATTGGTGTCAGTGGGAGGAATAGTGCTCCATCATTGCTGTCAGTGGGAGGAATAGTGCCCCATCATTGGTGTCAGTGGGAGGAATAGTGCCCCATCATTGGTGTCAGTGGGAGGATAGTGCCCCATCGTTGGTGTCAATGGGAGGACTAGTGCTCCATCGTTGGTGTCAGTGGGAGTGGGACTAGTTTCCCACTGTTGGCATAGGTGGCAGGAATTATGCCCCATTTTTTATACCAATTGACTACAAATATAAAGGACATTCTCCCAACTAACTACCAATGTAAAGGACATACTTCCAACTGACTACCAATGTAAACGGCATTCTCCCAACTGACTACCAATGTAAACGGCATTCTTCCAACTGACTACTAATGTTAAGGGCATTCTTCCAGTTGACTACCAATGTAAAGGGTATTCTTCCAACTGAATACAATACCAACTACCAATGTAAAGGGAATTCTTCCAACTGACTACCAATTAAAGGGTTCTTCCAACCTACCAATGACTACCAATTTAAAGGGAATTCGTCCAATTGACTACCAATGTAAAGGGCGTTCTTCCAACTGACTACCAATGTAAAGGGTGTTCTTCCAACTGACTACCAATGTAAAGGGTATTCCTCCAACTGACTACCAATGTAATTGGCGTTCTTCCAACTGACTACCAATGTAAAGGGTATTCTTCCAACTGACTACCAATGTAAAGGGTATTCTTCCAACTGACTACCAATGTAAAGGGTATTCTTCTAACTGACTACCAATGTAAAGGGCGTTCTTCCAACTGACTACCAATGTAAGGGTCACTTTTCCCATTGACCACCAGTGTGTCACTTTTCTGTTGACCACCAAAGTGAGGGGGGGGGGGCATTTTCCCACTGATCCAAGGGCGGACTGACTATTTGGAAACTCGGACACTGCCCGAGGGCCCGGGGTCAGTAGGGGGCCCCATGAGATGCCCCTGGTACCTTTTTCATAAGCTTTTTTTGAGTTTGGGCAAGGACACAGGGGCCCCATGATCCCCTAGTGCCCGGGGGCCCCATGAGCTATCAGTCCGCCCCTGGTCCGACGTCATCAGGAACGCACCCCCCTATTTTTTGATGCCCGTGTATACTGCCCCCCTTGTATAGACAGCCAAAGGCACGGCCACAAAGTTGGTTTTCGGAAACATTGGCAGCCGAGCTCCGAACGTGCCCCCCCCCCCCCCCCCCCCCCTTTGCAGGCATGGCCCTGCATCCTCCTCCTTTTCCACATTCCCTCCTTTTCCAGAAGGATTGGGTGTTTCATGAGAAGAGAGAAATACTGCTGGGGTTACCATGGCAACCGGCTCTCGGACTCAGCAAGTTCCCAGAACCTTCGGCGGTGGGATAGACAAGACTGCGAGTGAAAATAGTATGGGGGGGGGGGGATGCTTAAAAAAAGAATTTCAGAATTCTGCCGTCAATCTGGAGGAATATTTATGTCGAACGTGTAAAAAAAAAAAAAAAAAAAGCGCAAGCTCTTCAGAACGAAAGCGACTCTCTAGAATTTTTATAAGGGATCTGGTGGGCAGGGGGGGCCTTACCCCACTGCAGCCAATCGGCTTTCAGCTTTTAAAGCTTTAGCCTGATTTAGCAATAAAAGATGATCGGTGATTGGCTGCTGTGATTGCTGTCTGAGGTTGGGGCTCATTCTCACCGTAAAGGTTCAGGATGTCAGTCGGCCCCTTATAGCTTTTTGTGGATGGAAATCGAGCCGCGCGTTTTGGTGCGTTGACATCAGGGGCGGACTGACAACTCATGGGGCCCCCGGGCAATAAGAGATCATGGGGCCCCTGTGTCCTCGCTCACACTCAAACCACACCCAAAAAAGCCTATGAAAGGTACCAGGGGCACCTCATGGGGCCCCCTACTGACCCCGGGCTCTCGGGCAGTGCCCGAGTTTCCAAATGGTCAGTCCGCCCCTGGTGTGTTGTCACATTTGTTGCAAATACTGCATTTTGGGTGCACTTGGGTTCCATGCGTTGGACAAATGTGGGCAAAATCGCCGGGTTTTGCGCGTACAAAAAAAACCACTATAGTGCGAATACTGACTGAGGGCCTGTTTACACTAGTGGTTGGGGGAAGGGGGGTAAAACCATACAGCTGAGCCAGGTTTTTACCTTTCCATAACTGCCTACCCCTGTAGTTGGGAAGGCGGTGGCCAGGGGTGTTACGTGCAGGGGAGGACTGACAACTCATGGGGCCCCCTGGGCAATAGGGGATCATGGGGCCCCTGTGTCCTCACCCACACTCAAACCACACCCAAAAAAGCCTATGAAAGGTACCAGGCGCATCTCATGGGGCCCCCTACTGACCCTGGGGCCCTTGGGCACTGCCCGAGTTTCTGAATGGTCAGTCCGCCCTGTTCAGGTGATGCAGCTGTGATGCTCTTCTTCACAGCTGTGGCAGGAATTATACCCACCGGCTGAATGCGACACATTCAGGTGAATGGGGCTGCATTGCAACTAGTGGCGGACTGACAACTCATGGGGCCCCCGGGCAATTGGGGATCATGGGGCCCCTGTGTCCTGGCCCAAACTCAAAAAAGCCTATGAAAAAGGTACCAGGGGCATCTCATGGGGCCCCTACTGACCCCGGGCCCTCCAAATGGTTGCAACCGTGCGCAATGTACTTGGTTGAAGTGCAGCAGTCTGGCATTTTGGGGGTTAAAAACAGGAGGGGAGGAGTCTATAGAACACCTTCTCATTGGCTGTCAGATTCTCTGGGAATGTGGATTTCTCTTTACAGAGCAACACAAGTGTAATGAGCCCAAAGCAGGGGCGGAGTGACAACTTATGGGGCCCCCGGGCAATTGGGGATCATGGGGCCCCTGTGTCCTCACCCACACTCAAAGCACACCCAAAAAAGCCTATAACAGGTACCAGGGGCATTTCATGGGGCCCCCTACTGAGTGCCCGAGTGCTCGAATGGTCAGTCTGCCCCTGTCCCAAGTGTTCATTCTGGCACCATAAAAAACAGGCGGTTGATCCACGTTTTTACCCCCCCCCCCCACCTCCAAATGTAAATGGCAGCTGAAGGATTGAGTTGTGGCTTCTGCATGTCAGGTATGACAGGCGGCACCACCTCTCCGACTCGCCCATTGAAGCCAACAGGACGGTGCCTGCTTGCCAAAGGCGCTAGTTCAATGTAAAATCCACAATGGGCTAAAAGAAATCCTTCCAGGGATCCAGAAACAGGCGTGTGTGAGGCCGAGGAATCGCCTGTCAGCCGGCCGAGATGAAATATAAAGGACAGCGAAGGCAGGCTGTGCACCGACACCCGACATTTACAAACCGCCTGTCCCTAGCTGGACAAGGTTCCCAGTGATTGGCGGGTGATGGCTGCTGTGCTGCATTGTGTGTCATGGCTACTTTGTTGCCTGGATGCCGGGGTAAAGGGTGTTTTCCTGCTTCACTTTTCCTCCTACCCTGTTTTTGGTAATCATTGGTGATCAACGAGGAGAGCCATTTACCCCCCACCCACCGGGTGCCACTGTACCGCCTTATACACAGGGCTCTCCAGACTATGGCCCACGGGCCACATCCGGCCCTCTACTGTTGTGTCCTCAGTGTGCACTGACCTGGATTCAGGTCAGCTGAGGCTCTCTATGGTTTCCGCTTCTACCACCCTACCCGCACCCAGACTCTGTAAAGGAGGGACTCTGATTGGGACGCTGATGTAAAGGGGACTCTGATGGGGACCCTGGCATAAGGGGGGCTCTGATAGGGATTCTGATGTAAAAAGAACTCTGATGGGGACCCTGATGTAAGAAGGAATCTGATGAGGACCCTGACATAAGGGGGAACTGTAATGGGGGCCCTGATGTAAGGGGGACTCTAATAGGGACCCTGATGTAAGGGGGACTCTAATGGGGACCCTGATGTAAGGGAGAACTCTTATGGTGACCTGGATGTAAGGGGGAACTCTAATGGGGACCCTGACATAAGGGGGAACTCTAATGGGGACCCTGATATAAGGGGGGACTCTAATGGGGACCTAGATGTAAGAGGAACTCTAATGGGGACCCTGATGTAAGGGGGGACTCTAATGGGGACCTAGATGTAAGAGGAACTCTAATGGGGACCCTGATGTAAGGGGGGACTCTAATGGGGACCTAGATGTAAGAGGAACTCTAATGGGGACCCTGATGTAAGGGGGAACTCTTATGGTGACCTGGATGTAAGGGGAGGACTCTAATGGGGACCCTGATATAAGGGGGAACTTTAATGGGGACCCTGATGTAAGGAGGACCTCTAATGGGGACCCTGATGTAAGGAGGACCTCTAATGGGGACCCTGATGTAAGGAGAGGATCTGATGGGGACCCTGATGTAAGGAGAGGCTCTGATGGGGACCCTGATGTAAGTGGAGGCTCTGATGGGGACCCTGAAGTAGGGGGGGGGGACTCTAACTCAGTACCAGGGGCGGACTGACTATTTGGAAACTCGGGCACTGCCCGAGGGCCCGGGGTCAGTAGGGGCCCCATGAGATGCCCCTGGTACCTTTTTCATAGGCTTTTTTGAGTTTGGGCAAGGACACAGAGGCCCCATGATCCCATATTGCCTGGGGGCCCCATGAGTTGTCAGTCCGCCCCTGCTCAGTACACAGAGAAGTTGAAGCCAAGCTGCCACTCAATCAGAGCCCATTGGTCGGACACCTCGACCCTTCCTGTGGCAGTCATATGACAGTGACTAGGGGGAGGGGTTAGAGATGGAGAGGTGGGCTTAGCTGATGACTTCTGACAAAAAGTCAGAAGCTGATGCTTTGTGATAGGTCCAGTGCTGTCACATGGGGGTGGGTGGACAGTCCTCAGCCTTGTGATAAGTGTACCCAGAACTTCCTCCTTCCAATACGTTACCATGTATCCGACTATCGAATGTTGTACCCATGAAGAGGAATTGATTTCAGCAATCCTCCGGAAATCCTTCATCTAAGGTCTCTTAAGATGACCATACACTATACAATCTGATTGTACAAACTTCTTCAGATCTACCATCAACTATATAGTGAACGGGTTTGCCTGACGAACACAAACTAAATGGGTTGTTTAGGTGTGTCCTACTCTACAGTGATTGTACAATCTGATTGTATGTATGTGGCCCACATAAAAGAAATGGTACAATCTGATTGTATAGTTTATAGCCATCCTTGTACTCTATGATTGTACAATCTTCAGTGGATGGCAAGAGCCTGCCTGATTGGATAAAAGTTGTTTGGATAGATTAGGGAGATCTTTGTATTACATGTTCTGGTAAATATAGAGTAGAGATTGTACAATTCGGTTGTATAGTGCATGGCCAGCTTCAAACTATCCTTAGGTTGTAGTCGTAATGTGATTGTATCATCATCTGCCAATCACTCTGTAGTGTGGGGGCTGACCTCAACAATCCATTCAATTCATCCCGTCATTGCATGATAAAATTACAAGATTACAGGACGATTGGAAATCACATCGTGTGCAAGTGGCCCCCATAAAGAAGACTGTACAATCAGGTTGTGTGTGAATGTGGCCACCGTGAAGGAGGCTGTACAATCAGATTGTGTGTGTGGCCATAATGAAGGAGATAGTACAATTAGATTGTATGTATGTGGCCACTATAAAGAAGACTGCATAATCAGATTGTATGTGTGTGGCCGTCATAAAGGAGATTGCACAATCAAGTTGTATAGTGTGTGGCCATGATAAAGGATATCGTACAATCAGATTGTATGCATGTGGCCATCATATAGGAGATTGCAGAATCAGATTGTATAGTGTATGGTCATCATAAAGGAGATTGTAAAATCAGATTATTTATTGCATGGCCACCATAAAAGAAATTGTACAGTCAGATTGTATGTGTGTGGTCACTATAGAGGAGATTGTACATCAGATTGTATGTGTGTGGCCACTATATAGGAGATTGTACAATCAGATTGTATGTGTGTGGCCACTATATAGGAGATTGTACATCAGATTGTATGTGTGTGGTCACTATATAGGAGATTGCATAATCAGATTGTATGTGTGTGGCCACTATATAGGAGATTGTACATCAGATTGTATGTGTTTGGTCACTATATAAGAGATTGTACAATCAGATTGTATGTATGTGGCCACTATATAGGAGATTGTACATCAGATTGTATGTGTGTGGTCACTATATAAGAGATTGTACAATCAGATTGTATGTATGTGGTCACTATATAGGAGATTGTACATCAGATTGTATGTGTGTGGTCACTATATAAGAGATTGTACAATCAGATTGTATGTGTATGTGGCCACTATATAGGAGATTGTACATCAGTGCTGTCTGTGTGCGTCCCGTGTGCATCCCGTATGTGTCCCGTGTGCATCCCGTATGCGTCCCATGTGCTTCCCGTGTGCGTCACGTATGCGTCCTATGTGCTTCCTATGTGCATGCTATGTGCATCCCGTGTGCGTCCCATATGCGTCCCGTGTGCAAGCTGTGTGTGCCTCGTGTGTCCAGTGTGCGTGCTGTGTGTGTCCCGTGTGCAGTCTGTGTGCATCCCGTGTGCTGTGTGCGTCCCATGTGCTTCCCGTGTGCATCTGGTGTGCGTCCTATGTGCCTCCCGTGTGCGTCACATATGCGTCCTATGTGATTCCTATGTGCGTCCCATGTGCGTCCTATGTGCGTCCCGTGTGCGTCCCATGTGTGTCCTATGTGCATCCCGTGTGCATCCCATGTGCGTCCCGTGTGTGTCCTATGTGCGTCCCGTGTGCGTCCCATGTGCGTCCTATGTGTCCTATGTGCGTCCTATGTGCGTCCTATGTGCGTCCTATGTGTGTGCGTGCGTCCTATGTGCGTCCTATGTGCGTCCTGTGTGTGTCCTATGTGCGTCCTGTGTGCGTCCCGTGTGCGTCCTGAGCCAGCAGCAGCTGGGAGGTAGGGCCCCTTTAAAGGGATGCAAGCTTTCTATCCCAGTGTCCCGCCCCTCATTTACAAGTCAGGCCCTTCCAGTGACAGGCTATTTTTAGGCTGGGGAGTCACGTGACCTGGGGGGGGGGGGGGTTGGTGACGTCACTGAATGTTGTTGTTGGTGGAGAGACTACAAGATCGAAAAGGGAGAGACTGCAAGGAAGGCAGAGAGACGGCAAGGCAGGGGAGTGATGGGCAGGGATGAAGCTGGGCTCCCCAGGAGCTAGACCAGCCAGGGGCCCCTCTATGACAGCCTGATGTCTCCGGCTATGGACTCTGACCGAACACAGACAGAAGACACCGCTTTCCTCTGACTACAAGAAGAGACATCCCTCTGCTGACCGGGAGAAAGACAGCCAAGAGACATCCCCGTCACTGGTCTGTCCGACGGATGAGACCAACCAAGACCAACCCGGAGAGACCACCCACCCCAAATCCCGAAGCGTCTCCTCACCTGAAGGGCTCCCAGACATCAGCCAGGGCTCAGGTAGCACCTGTTCTGCAGTGGATGGGGGAACTCATTCTTGTCTTGTTTGTTGAATGTTTTTGCTTTCTGTTATGTTTTATGTCTTCCCGTGTTATCGTTAGCAGACGTTACTCCTGAAATATTTTGGCTTTCTGCAACGAAGGGTTGGCCAGTTCCTTAGGACATTTTATTTCGACTTGAAGACCTTTTTTTTTTTTCTCTTTTCTGCTTTGTATTTTTAGTGAAGAGCCTTTCCTAAAAAAAAAAAAAGCGTACAGTGGGTCATATGAGCAGAATGATGAACAGGTATGCTTTTCATACTAATGAGCCGAATTCAATGAAAATGGAGAACCCGCATACATGTTATCAAGATGACCCAGTGGGGAAACTTGACCAGATACAACCAGAAATTGTTCTGCTGCATCTGATCGGTTTCCCTTTGAATTTGAGTTTGAAGATATAGTTGAATAAGAAGAACAAGAACAATGACCATACAATATTCAGATTTAGGCCTACCAACACAGAACATTACATGTACCAAAGTGCATGGGGTCTTAGTAGGCATGGCTACAACCAACCATGGAACATGGGGTCTTAGTAGGCATGGCTACCAACCAGAACATGGGGTCTTAGTAGGCATGGCTACCAACCAGCACAAGGGGTCTTAGTAGGCATGGCTACCAACCAGTACATAGGGTTTTTAGTAGGATGGCTACCAACCAGCACATGGGATCTTAGTGGGCATGGCTACCAACCAGCCCATAGGATCTTAGTAGGCATGGCTACCAACCAGAATATGGGGTCTTAGTAGGCATGGCTACCAACCAGAATATGGGGTCTTAGTAGGCATGCTACCAACCAGAACACGGGGTCTTAGTAGGCATGGCTACCAACCAGAACATGGGGTCTTAGTAGGCATAACTACCAACCAGAAAATGGGGTCTTAGTAGGCATGGCTACCAACCAGCACATGGGGTCTTAGTAGGCATGGCTACCATCCAGCACATGGGGTCTTAGTAGGCATGGCTACCATCCAGCACATGGGGTCTTAGTAGGCATGGCTACCAACCAGCACATGGGGTCTTAGTAGTCATGGCTACCAACCAGAACATGGGGTCTTAGTAGGCATGCCTACCAACCAGCACATGGGGTTTTAGTAGGCATGGCTACCATCCAGCACATGGGGTCTTAGTAGGCATGGCTACCATCCAGCACATGGGGTCTTAGTAGGCATGGCTACCAACCAGAAAATGGGGTCTTAGTAGGCATGGCTACCATCCAGCACATGGGGTCTTAGTAGGCATGGCTACCATCCAGCACATGGGGTCTTAGTAGGCATGGCTACCATCCAGAACATGGGGTCTTAGTAGGCATGGCTACCAACCAGAAAATGGGGGGGTCTTAGTAGGCATGGCTACCAACCAGAAAGATGACCCAGTGCTGAAACTTGACCAGATGCAACCTGTTCATTATTCTGCTCAATTTGGGATTGAAGATAAAGTTGGCTAAGGAATGACTATACATGTTCAGATTTCCTTACAATGAGATATGTGGTCATATGTGGCATGTGGTCTTAGTAGTCACAGCTACCAACCAGCAAGATGACCCAGTGTTGGAACCTGACCAGATACGAACACAAATTGTTCTGTTGCATCGGTTTCTTTTTTCTTTTGAATTTAGGATTGAATAAGGATGACTAATGACCATACATGTTTAGATTTTTATTTAGTTACATGTAAGTACATGGGGTCTTAGTAGGCATGGCTACCAACCAACAAGATGACCCGGTGTTAAAGCTTGACCAGATACAACCTGAAATTGTTCTGTTGAGTCTGATGGTTTTTCTTTTGAATTTCGGAATGAATACATACTTGAATAAGGATGAATAATGACTATACGTGTTCAGATTTCATTACAATTACATGTAAGTGCATGGGGTCTTAGTAGGCATGGCTACCAACCAGAAAATGGGGTCTTAGTAGGCATGGCTACCATCCAGAACATGGGGTCTTAGTAGGCATGGCTACCAACCAGAACATGGGGTCTTAGTAGGCATGGCTACCATCCAGAACATGGGGTCTTAGTAGGCATGGCTACCAACCAGAACATGGGGTCTTAGTGGGCATGGCTACCAGCCAGAACATGGGGTCTTAGTGGTCATGGCTACCAACCAGAACATGGGGTCTTAGTAGGCATGACTACAAACCAG